CTAGGGCTCCAAACTGGGCCAAGCCCAAGATATGGTTTTGTTTTTTTTTAGCAGTTTTAAAAATACATCAATCTTGATCTGTCTCCACTCTTCAGTTTTATAATCAGTTCTGTCGAGGACGTGTTTAACAAAGCACACCGAAGGCATCATGAATATCGTTTCCATAATAATATCGGAGAATCAGACACAATTGCTCTCTGTGACTAACATCTGGAGTTTCATCAATAATAATTGAAACGAATTTTGACAATTTTACTTCGTCCTAGATGTGAGTTTTCATTACATCAACGACAGAATGAATAATGTCATTTTGGATTGTACTAGATAAATAACTCGGCCATTTATTGCTTTGTTGATGCTTTTCTAACACGAGATCGTACTTCGAAAGAAGCGATACAAGTTCTAAAAAATTGGCTCTGTTTAATGAAGTTTTCGACTCATCGTGACCTCTGAAAGGAAGTTCTTGATGAGCTAAATGGCACACAATATCGACTAATCTTTGAAAAATACGGTTGTGATCAACACGCATGTTGTGTTTTGTAATTTCCTCTGATAACTGGCGCGACAAAGATGTTTCAATCCGAATTTTCCAAAATTAATAAACGAAATTACCGCATTCATGTGTTTTTGAGAATTCATATTATGCCTTTTAATGGCTCCAGATAAGTTATTTAAATCGTCATATCCAGTAGTATTCCAAGCCGTTTTGTCGTTGGAAAAGAATATACAACACCGACAGTACAACTTATTGGTATGTGAGCAGCCAACAATCCAATTAAATTGCCGTTTATGGGTTTTACTCGTCTGAGAAATGCACAGATCAGGCGTTGGTTTCGGCGAGGATATAAGCTGTTTTTTCTCAACAAAGTTTAAAGATTTTACCTTTTCCTCGCCGATTAGCACTTTAACACACTTCAATTCATCACAAAGAACATTCTTTCCCTCCATTTTCACTAAAAATCATTAAAAAAAAACATAAATTTTAAACTCGCAATATATTCGCTCAAGCTCAACACACAATGCACAAAGTACTTTTTGACATAATGTAAACACTAAACATTGAAATGTGGCGTGAACTTGCTAACATATCGTCGGCTCGTCGGCGTCGGCCGCGCGCCTCCTCTCTCGACTAACTTCATACCTAACGTGACCATACGTCCCACTTTAGGCGGGACGTTCCCGATTTAAAGGTTTGTGTCGCGCTATCCCCAAAATACGTAAAAATGTCCCGCTTTGACAAACAAAAGCGTGACAATCATGCAAACCCTGTCACCCGTGCCATCATTATGACACCGCGCGTACCAGGTTTGCATAGCTTGTCTAGTTACGTGATTATTTCAAAAAGCTACACTTTTGAATTTAAAGTTACGAAGTGACAATTTTTAATTAACCTACAATAAATTATCAAATAACATAAGATATTTCCAGTTAGTATTTATTTGATGTTCAGAATTCTCTTTTGATCATTAAAAGACTCAAACAACTATGTGTTTTATTCATAAAACTATATTAAAGGGTTCCAGATTGAATTTTGGTAACGGCGTAAGTATAATACTAACATATACAATAAGTGTAATACTACTGATTGACCCGACTCAGGTTTCGAACTTGGGACCACATAATCAGCAATCAAAAGTGTTAAAACTATAATAATTTTAAAGGCGTCCCGCTCTGAGGAAAAAAATATGGTCACTAAAAAGGCGGGCTTTTTATATCCATACTAATTGCTATTTATACAATCGTAGTTATATTTCATTATAGAACATTTTGCCACAGGTTAGAAAGGGAGCGATCGCCTTCTCGAAAGCCCGGTAAAAAGCCCACGCGTGCGAGGGAGAAAATCAATCGCTCTATCCAACTCTCCTTATATGTATGACAGCAGTATTCGTAAGGCTACGAGGTCGAACAGAGTGCGGAAATTTGAAATAGTTTGAAACAGTTTACGAGTTATTTTATTACTTGATATAATTGATTGATTCATCTTAATGAGGCAAGCCGGGCTTTTGGGCTTGTATAGAGGCTTCGCCACTGCTTGCCGACATTTAATAGCCTACATAATTATTATTAAATAGCCTACATAATTATTATTAATTAGATAAATCGCGATCGCAAGCTAAATAAGACTTTATCGCTGCGCGAGAGTATCCTTATTACTTTGCAAATTTTCCTCTTCCTACGTTACGGTGGACTTTCCGTTGTTAGTAAGGGATGTCAATAAAGAGTAACAAAATAAATTGCGAAATATTAATTAGGTTACTTAGGTGAAATACCTATTCTGACTGTGATCGATAGATATTATTTTCGCACCTACGTGAGTTCTGCGATGCCTAACGCATGCAACTTGCAAGGCCATTCGTCGGGAATCGCGACGCTTGGCTCGTAAGGAAAAGGTAGATAGTGTAAACAAAAAATAAACTTGAAATACGGTTCCTAACAGAAATGAAATCGTATTCTACTTAGTCAAACATTTTGTAAGTAATCAAAGTTTTGATTTCAGTGTTTTGTGTTATTTTAGCTTAAAATATTTTAATACAAAAGGCAAGTACATGTTCGTAAGTAGATTACTTGGATAGTGAAGTAAATTTCTACTAAATTTTGTAATAAAGTTCGTAGATATTAAATAAATTATTACTTAATACTTTTTTTGCTATAAGTACCTATCTAACAATAAAAATTAAATAAATTCACGTTTCATAACTTCCTACTAAAATCCTTCGGTTATAAAGAATTATATATCTGAAATATTTTGTTGTTCATTTAGCGTCTATCCACGTAATAATTATTATAGGAACGACGTTTTGCCATATTTATTAAATAATAAGTAATATTATACATAATATATAGTTCTTAAATTACATTAAAACTTTTGAACTACTTTATCCTATAATTAAATATACTAAACACTAAACAAAAACTATTTCAACAATATTTACAAACAGTTATATACGTCAACAGCGTTAAAAAACTTTAACATTTAATCGCATCCAACGCGCTAGCACTGACTGCGTTATTTCGCCCGGGCGCGTCGCGATTTTAGGTAATTATTTCACATTTTTCAGAGTGATTGAGGCCTGCTATCACCGAATTGGCTGTCCAGATATGCGCGCACAGATCGTTCATAATGAGCTGGACATCCATCATGCTGGAAGTACATTCCTTACAGATGGCTCAGAGGAACGTTTTGCAATATTGTGTCGATTACGGAACGTATCATTTGCAGATGAGTTACTCCCGTCAATCGACCTTCAATTCAAAAATTCCAACACGGGTAAATATCGATTCACCACACCGTCTAACTACCGTCTATTTTCACCAGGCAAGACATAAAATCTCGTTCGATAAACACGCGGAAACATAAACAATACGACGGCAACGCGACGTTACACCACAGCTAACCACAGGTAAATGAAATGAGTTGAGGGCGCGGGGCGGCTTTGCCCTTGAGCCTGTGACCCTGTGAAAGGACGTTGACAAAGAAATTATTGTTTTAATGCCGCTCGTAAAACTAGGATGGGTATGATTTGAGTGTCGATAGATGTTAATTGATTTATTAATTTAATTCAAAATTTTCGTTTTTATTTTTTGTAAAATATCAGTGCTGCATACGCTTTTACTCCGTTCATCTGTTACACCCAATTTTTTTTGCAGACGGTAAAATAGTATATCTAGTATATTATAGACTATTGACTCGTAATAAATGTCTTTGATTATTGTATTTTTTCCTAAAATTATGTAAAACTTCTCGATCATTTCCAGATCGAAGCACGATTTGTAAATATTAAAGAAAAAATTAAAAAAAAATACTTAAGATATTCAGATCAGATCATCATTTCAGTGGTATGTATATAATTTTGATAGTGTTGCCAAGTAGGGTTTTTGAATGTCTTTATTATTTTCCCTTGTAACCACATTTAATCGATAGACTATATAGTTATCGTTCATGTCGTATATTCGTTGTATCGTATTTATACTTGATACTGGCAGAAATACAACTGTACGAGTCCATTACTAAAGAAAAATGTTAAAAATCAAAAGATTTTTTTCTGGCATATTGCTTTGTAATAGCGCTATCTATTTTATTCTATAGGTAAAGTCATATTATCGAACATGACAGTCAACCACTCTTAATGTGGTACGCAAAACAGACGCTAGATGGCTTAAACGCGACTAACTTAATACAAATTGGTAAGTTTTGAGATCGTGGATTTTGAATAGTTTTGTTATAGTAATTAATTATATTCAATATGGTTAATTTTATTTATTTAATAAATTTGTTATTCTTTTTTAAACTTGTTGTTGTTGTTATTTGTTGTTATTTTAACAGTTAAAAGTTATACTAACCATTTTTAAAGCACCGTACAAAGGGGAAACACTGTATACTGTATTCTATCTTATTCTCTCGCAGGCTAAATTCTATAGATGTATGTTTGTCTCTTTTTTCTCTATCAAGTTTTAAATGACAAATCAAAAGTTAAATAAGTAATCAAATTGTATGAAAGGAACTCTTACATAAATGCTTTAAAGGTGTATATCAAAATACCCAACGACTTTAAAGAGTTACCTTTAACCATGTTTAAAAAAAAAGTAGATACAATGGTTAAAAGAAAAATATTTTTACGACCTAAATGAATTTATGTCTTTTTGTGGAAAATAAATCTGAAGTAAGTAATTGATATATATCTAATAATTAATTAATTACCAACAAACTGAAAGTATGGACATTAACAATTAAGAACAATCATTACACAATGTGACATTTTAAAACCTATTACATAAATGACATGATATTGACATCAATTAATCATAAATGTACGAAATTGAATTCCCACTTGTTGTTTAATTTTTTTTGCATGTATACATATAAAATATTTGCACATACAATTTACACCATATAAAGTGGTAGAATGTAAATGGGCCATTATAAATAATTTAAGATCATACTTTATTGTACACATACATTCTGGCAAATAAATGAATTTGAATTTAAATAAGGCGCTCACCTATGCAGCGGCTTGACCTCCTCGGGGGCCAGACGGCCGTGCAGCGCCAGGCCGGCGTCGACGACGGCGAGCTGCGAGGCGACCAGGCGGCGCAGCTTGGCGGCGGCCGCTAGCTCGCGCGGCGCCGCTCCACGCGCGAACTCCGCGCTCAGGAACGCCTGCTCGTACTTGGTGATGCCGCCCTGCACGTTCGCGTCGATCGTGCCCTGCAGCCGCATGGAGAACGGGTTGATGTTCTGCGTCGGGTCCGCCGTGTACTGCGAGATCAGGCTGCGCAGCTCGCGCTCCGTCGCCTCCATCGTTTCGCATGCGAACTGTCGGGGAAAACAATATCCTTATGAACATTTTATAAATGTGCACATTTATCTCTTTGGATGTTGTTCATTCAATCACACAAAAAGCCTAAAATTTAATTTATGTAAACTATCAATAATTTAAAGCCAATGAAATATACCAAAATTCTCGCGGTATAAATCCCTTATAAATAAAATAATTACTTTAGTGCTAATTATTACAAAACATTACTTGACTAAAGTAATGGCAAACACACATATTAATACGGTAATGCCTCCTCGGTGTTATTAAACGTAAAGTACAAGTTTCGACGGAATTAACTTACTTCAACCGGTGGGATTTCTTCTACAGATCTCGATATCACTTCCGACCACCGCAAAATTCCAGGCAGCGTGTTTTCTGTTACCAACGTTGTACGCTCAATCCACAGGCTCTGTAAAAACAAATTCTAATTGATTAATACATATTCGGCAAATAATCGCTTCATAAATAGAAATAAATCAAAATGGCTTTTTTCCTAAATTCAGAGTACAAGTGCGGTGATCATACAACTCCGAATGTCGTAGGTGATTGAATAATTTCTTATATTTACGCGAATATTACACATTGAATTTTATCGCGTAAAATTTTTATTTTATAATTCCCTACGTTTCAGGTATTTGACAATATCCACGGGGGTGGACTCGGGCGACTTAAAATTAAATGCGATAAAATCCGTAAAATTAGTTTTATTCACGATAGATTAAAAACTAAAAGACAACGTTTTAATAAACTGGAATTTTATTTATAAAAGACAAGGTACCATATAATGAAATTTAAAAAGAATTTAGCCACTCAAATTTACTAATACTGATTCAAGGTATTTTAAATTTGATGAACATGAGACACTCAATAGTTTGATTTGTATACGTATGATATTATGACGTATGTAAATAAATTAAAAGTATGAATAACTTTTTTCTTCCCTTAACGAATTGTCCCCTAATGAATTGGCGATATATTAAAAATGGGCCAAATTAAGAGTACCATGTGGAGTCATGCTGCAGTCATACTATTAGTAGTATAATTATAGCACGAATGGGTTAGCGTAACCGGGGAAGGACCACGCTCTCACAGAATACCAGCCTAAAATAGTAGCTTAATGTTGCTGTTTCGTATGGTGAGTGTAGAGAACCGGAGACCCTTTTTACTGGAAACGAGGCATTCCATCTTAGTCCTCACAGGTGACAACATTTTGATTCGTAATCGAGGATAGATATAGATGTCTATAGGCCACAGCAACCAGCACCATCATGTGGACTGTATGCTCGTTTGTCACCCTATCCTATAAAAAAATGAAGGGTAGCTGCTATAAGACTGAGCTGAAATGAACCAAAATGGCAGCCATCCTCTTGACTTGACAGTGGTAGAGCCACGCAGCAGCTATTGATGTCGCGTGGATGGGCCAGCTTGAACCGGGGTTGTACCACGACCTCACAGAATACCTGCGTGAAGTATAGGTTTACCTCTGCCTTTCGCTTGGGCTGGAGGCCCAATTCTCCTTAACGTCGTAGCGGAATCAAATAAAAACTACCCCCAGAGGGTACCCTCACTCACTGGTGACGGAGAATCCCTCGCTGAGCATCCACGAACAAGCTACTTTACTCTTCCTGAGCGTAGTTGCTTAGGCTGCTCCGCGTATTCCGGGGGAGGGGAATTCTGCTCGCGACTAAAACTGCTAGGGGCAAGAGGAGCAAGGTGGTGGAGGTGCTGTCCACTATCACCCGGAGACGGCGAAGCCGCCCTTGCTCTTTTGAACCGAGACTCAGGTGTTCTCTCCGACTGATACTTCATATCTCTCCTACCCGGGTACAAATTAGAACACTCCTTTGTGGCTGGAGTTTTTATATTTGGTTAGAATTTGTTAAAACAGACAAATATACTTTCGCATTCGCATGATATATTACTTTTATAGTTGTAGTATTGTATCTCGATTTTCAGGGACTTTTAAAAAAGTGGCAACACTTCTCTGACTCACACAAAGTTATAAAATTGTTTACAGTTTCATGTTCTAGGTGCAATATCTACCTTTTTTACTTCATCTGAGGTTATTATTCGTTGCCTTAACGACACAACGTTAGATTTATTTGTAATTGCATAATTCTGCTCGAAAAATATGAGCTTGCTATAGCCACTTGCACTGCGCACACCAGAGCGCACATATATACGTACAACAATTCTCGATTGCTCAAATGAGTTAAAACAGGTAGATACCTGTTTTAACTCATTTTAATTTGTATCTATAAAGGGTATTGAGTGTCGCGTCGTGTGGACAGGTCGGGTGCAGGTCACCTTGAACTCGTTGTCCTTGTCGATGGGCGGCTTATGCAGCGGGCGGTCGCAGAGGAAGGTGTCGACGTCGTTGCAGGCGTAGTAGCGCCGCACCGCCTCCGCCGCGCCGCTCGGCCACGCGCGCCGCGCGCCCACCGGCTTCACGTTGCAGATCTGGATGTCTGCACACGCACATGCACACACCGCCTCACATAACATTCCATTTGACTGTATAGCTAGAATAGGCAGGTGAAAGTACGCGGTATGTACCCGCCAAAATTTACTCGGGTCTTCACTCGGATGGTGTAGGTGCGCTATACTCAAGTATCAATTTATTTATTTGATTAGCTGAATGCGAAGTTTTAAACTAGTCAGAGCCATGCTGCAGTTATATTGTAGTTGTATCACGTAAGGATCAGCTGAAGGAAAAAGCTGCTATTATATATATTTAATGCTGGTATTCTATGAAAGGACTATACTTTCACAGAATACCAGCATAAAATAGCAAATTAATGCTGCTATTTCGTATGGTGAATATAGAGAACCGAAAGTCCTTTTACTGGAAACGAGACATTCTATCTTAATCCTCAGAGGTGACAATGCTTCTACACTTTGATTCTTCATCGAAGATAAATGTCGATGTCTATGGTATACAACATACACTTACTATAAGGCGGAGTGAATACTAGTTTGTCACCCTTATTCTATAAAAAAATCCCATCCTAGTGACAACAAATGCAACCACATTTTGATTCTCCATCGAAGATAGATGAGCCCCCATAGTGAAATCCATGGGCCATAGTATCCACTTACCACTCAGTAAGCTGCGTATTCATCTGGCATCCTTCTCATAAGCTCCTATCAATCTAATGCTGAACATTAGCATCTCTTAGTTGTAGGAAAGATTTATCTTAATTACCACCCTTTGTGATAATTGACGATCGCAGTATAATCCCCGGCACGAGTCGTGATCACACTTTTTGTTGGTCGATATGACGTTGACCACGCTGACGCTTAACGTGATTGGTTAGTCAGTCGATGGTCGTCGTCGTCTATTGGGTTCCCGCGTATCATTCGGGCATCGTACACTTGAGAGCAATTTTATTGACAACTTTGTAATTAGTTTATTTTTGTTAATTATTTTAATTACCTCTTGGCAATTTTTTGTTATTTCTGGTTTTTACTTGTTTTTGTTATTTCTTGTTGCTAATTGTTTTCGTTGTTATAATTTTAGTGATCAGTTTTGAACTAAATATGCAGATAGAAGGAATTCAATGTAATATAGACAATAGCGAAAAATGGTCCATTGAGTGTTCTGTTACATGAAAAAAAAAATAGGTATAGCAAGTACATGATAGACGTTTATAAACAAACTGCTATAGCTAAAAAAGTTAAAGGAGTATAGTTAAGGGAGTTAACGACTCAGAATTTCTGGTCGTATTTTGACCAAATAACGGAGGAGTTTATCATTAAAGTGGGCAATGATGACTCTGAGTCTAGTTCGGAGGATGAGGATGACGACAAAGATTATGGTGACGATGATGAACTGGAAGATGAAGGAGCCTGTACTAGCACCGAAACTTCAGATTTTATGGAAGGTATATCACCTCTTACTTCGTCTTATTAAAATATACAATTCTAACCATGTAAATTGTTCGATTGAGTTTTACAGACATTAAATACTATATAGCAGATAATAAAATAATGGTCACGAATATCTGCAAGATTATTGTATCAATGTAAAGTTTATGTATTCAGGTAAACATCAGACCACTTGTACAAATGTCTATGTCAAACAACAACGAATGCAATTTCGACAATTAGGTCAAAAAACTGGGCAAATTTCGAAAAACAGAAATTAGATAATGAATACTGGGAAAAGGATATATGAATGGAAAATGTAATGGAAGATTTTATCATAGAAGTCGGAGATACTAGTAACGAAGAGTCACTAAGTGCTTGTAGCGAGGATAGTATGAGTTCATTTGATATTGATTGTGATGAATAAATTATTATTAGAAATATTTTTTTTTATTATAAACCTTATTTAATTAATTTTAAGTACTCTTTTGTTTTGTGTTGCAAATAAGTTATCGATATAAACTACTTGGTACTTGCTGCCGCTGCCTAACCACTAGAAAATTGCCATGTCGACTTGTACTATGTGTTCTTATTATTATTATTTATACTCACACTGTCCATCGGCAGCAATAATGGAATCATCGGGAGGAGTGTTCCTCATGAGGATATGCGCGGCAACGTACTCTGATTGCAGCCGCTGAGTAAATGCACCGATACGCTCATAGTCTTGCCCTCTATACACAAACTGCTTATTCTAAAAAACACAATAAAAGAAATATTCAGCTTGAGATTCTTCTTTATCATAATATTATTATAAAGATGAGACATGTGGTGTTATGTCTACACTATGTATTGTTATTAGTAATAGAAATTACCCATAATATGGCATGGTCGTACGCAATGTGATGAAAAGATTTTTATAACAAATAACTAGACTTGAGATAACTGCGGATCTGTAGCAGCATATAGTCACTTAATAGAACGAAGAAAGTATCAACTCTGTTAAACCGGTTATTTTATTACAAAGGAAATAAATTTTTAACTAAATTGTAACATAGGAAAGGTGTCAATGAAGGAGACGTGTTGTTTGTACTAAAACTTTAATTATACTGCTTATTATTGTAAACATAACACAAATACATATATATTATAATGTCGTGGAGGACTACTGTACACCTCCCACCGACAAAAAATATAAAAAAGAAACAAAAACAATTGTATTTAAATGTTATTTTCACAAGAACATATGAAAAATTTAATAGATAATAAACTATTGCAAAATTTAAGTAGGTTAAAATTTAATTTTTCAAATTATTATTTCATTACATTTTTGCAAGACACAGTAATAAAATAATATAGAACACTAACTGAATTAATTAAATATTTAATAAAAACATGCCACACATACATGACTTAATTTATAATATTGTGTTTTTGGCTTTTATTAAGATACAGTAACAAAATATTAAAATCGGTTGAATCGTAAATTGTCTGATTAAATACTTTCAATTTGATCATATATTGATTGCAGAATGTTCGTTACATAAATTAAAAAATTATAATAGTAAATACAACATAAACAAATCTCAAATTAATAAAGTTTTATATGGAATTAAAATCACATAAATGCGTTGTTACCTCTGATTTACTTCTTTATTCTTTTTGGTTTAATCTTTTCAGCTAAGGCTCGCTCAAATCCAATAGCAGTCAACAAATTACACCTTCAGATCACTCCATCAAGTCCGGAGGCAAGGACTCATCATAACTAGCATAACGAGTCCAACCTCGGCACACCTAGTTCTATTCGCTGACGAGTTCCAATAGCAGTCAACAAAGTATACCTTCAGGTCACTCCATCAAGTGCGGAGGCAAGGACTCATCATAACTAGCATAACGAACCCAACCTCGGCACACCTAGTTCTATTCGCTGACGAGTTCCAATAGCAGTCAACAAAGTATACCTTCAGGTCACTCCATCAAGTGCGGAGGCAAGGACTCATCATAACTAACATAACGAGCCCAAACTCGACACACCTAGTTCTATTCGCTGACGAGTTCTAATAGCGGTCAACAAAGTATACCTTCAGGTCACTCCATCAAGTGCGGAGGTAAGGACTCATCATAACTAGCATAACGAGTCCAACCTCGGCACACCTAGTTCTATTCGCTGACGAGTTCCAATAGCAGTCAACAAAGTATACCTTCAGGTCACTCCATCAAGTGCGGAGGCAAGGACTCATCATAACTAGCATAACGAGCCCAACCTCGGCACACCTAGTTCTATTCGCTGACGAGTTCCAATAGCGGTCAACAAAGTATACCTTCAGATCACTCCATCAAGTGCGGAGGCAAGGACTCATCATAACTAGCATAACGAGCCCAACCTCGGCACACCTAGTTCTATTCGCTGACGAGTTCCAATAGCGGTCAACAAAGTATACCTTCAGGTCACTCCATCAAGTGCGGAGGCAAGGACTCATCATAACTAGCATAACGAGTCCAACCTCGGCACACCTAGTTCTATTCGCTGACGAGTTCCAATAGCGGTCAACAAAGTATACCTTCAGGTCACTCCATCAAGTGTGGAGGGAAGGACTCATCATAACTGTAATGAGGGTACATTAAATATATAAGTGATTGATTGCAAAAGGCTCGTCGAACAGTCACGAATAAACCGTCAATCCGCTTACCCGTGTCTTATTTACGAAATACACTACAGTGGCGACGAGGATTAAGTTGTTTTTATTTTTCGGTAAATTTACGTGGACGCATATATTAAATAATGTCGATCGGCAAAGTGAGTGAATTCAACGTCAAAACAGGAAACTGGACTTTATATGTGGAGAGACTAGAAATGTACTTTACGGTAAATGCAGTGAAAAACGAAATGTGGTTGCCGACATTAATCGCCGGTATGGGAGACGAAGCGTACGAATTATTAAGTAATTTAACAAGTCCGATTAAACCGGGAGATAAATCGTATCAAGAAGTGGTAAAAATACTTCGGGAACATCTTCAACCGAAACCCTCGTTCATGGCGGAGCGATATCGTTTTCGACAAAGAAGACAGTTGAGCGGAGAAACGATTTCGCAGTATATAACCGAAATTGTCGAAATACTGCGAGTTTCATTCAACTCTAGAGGACAATTTAAGGGATCAATTGGCTGTGGAAGTGATGTCATCCGTCAACGATTATTCGCAGAAGATAATCTGAAATATTCCATAGCCGTGAGAATAGCTTGCGCTTTAGAGGCGGCGGAGCGGGATTCGGCCGCGGTGGAGCAGGCAGGCAGCGACGACGGGCTCGGCGGTAGCGGCGCGGACAGCGCCTTGCATGCGGTGACGTCATCGACAAGCCGCGCTCGAACGCGGGAGCAGGACAGCGCACCGAGGGCTTTTAAAGCTCGAGAACATGGCGGCGGCAATGCGCTATATTGTAGCGCGTGCGGGTCGAGGTACCACCGAAGTGATGATTGCCGCTATAAGAAATTCGTGTGTGGTAAATGCAAACAGAGCGGTCATCTACGCCGGGTATGTCCCAAAAGAGGGGGGTACACGGGAAATGCAGGCTCCCGACGCCACATGTACCATGTGGAGGCGGGAGAGTGCGAGACACCGTCAGCGGACGACGAGCCACCATCCGTGGAAAGTCAAACGGAGTTACAGGAGGATCTACACCATCTATGTTTAAATAGCTATAAACCGGTGAGCCTAACATTATTATCAGACGGATTTAAACTTAATATGGAAATTGATACCGGGTCGGCAGTGTCTTGTATAAGTAAAGCGACTTATAATAAATATTTTTACACTAGACCTATGGACAAGTTCGATCTGGTTCTAAAATTTTATGATGGAAGTCGAATCAAACCTTTAGGCATCATCAAGTCCGAAGTTAGATATGGAAATATAACAAAACACTTAGAACTGTTTGTAATAGATGGGGGCACGACTTCATTGTTGGGTAGACAGTGGCTGTCGGAACTGCAAATTAAAATTCCGACATTCCACAGCATGGTGCTGGATGACCATTTTAGTAACAATAATTTGTCATTATTATTCGACAGATATAACAAGTTGTTTTCCGGCGGCTTGGGGCGGTTCGCGGGCGGCAAGGCGACGCGGCGAGTCCGGGAAGGGGCGACACCGGTGTTCTGCCGCGCACGACCTTTTGCCATACGCGCTCAAGGACCGCGTGGATGCCGAGCTGGATGCGATGCTTCGGGAGGGGGGTTATTGAACCCGTGGAGAGCTCTGACTGGGCTACACCTCTGGTGCCGGTACGTAAGGCGGATGGTGGGCTCCGAATTTGCGCTGACTATAAAGTGACGCTGAACCCCGTATTGCTGGTCGATAGATTTCCCTTGCCTAGGATTAATGATTTGTTATTAGGTATGAATGGCGCTAGAATATTCTCTAAAATCGATCTGTCACAAGCCTACAATCAGATCGAACTAGATAACTCTAAAAACCTTACCGTTATAAATACACATAGGGGCTTATTTACGTATAACAGGCTAGTATATGGGTTGTCATCAAGTCCAGGAATTTTCCAGCGTATAATGTCAAATCTTTTTCACGATATGGAAAAGGTAGAAGTATTTTTAGACGATATAATAATAGGTTCTTCTAATGAAAGAGAGCATTTAGAAATATTGGAGAAGGTGCTTAGTAGATTACATAAAAAACGGAATGAAGCTGAGGAAAGACAAATGTTTATTCATGGTGGACGAGGTCAAGTATTTAGGATATATTATTTCAAAAGATGGCATTAAAGTAGATCCTGACAAGGTAGCTGCTATAGTAAAAATTCCGCGCCCCGAGGACGTTTCGGACTTAAGATCATTTTTAGGATTAGTCAATTTTTACGCTAAGTTCATTAAAAATTTAAGTACTACCTTAGCCCCACTTTACGGCTTATTAAAAAAGGGTGTTACTTGGGACTGGGACAGAAGTTGCGAGGACTCTTTTAAAAAAATTAAAAAAGTCTTAACCAGTGCTGAAGTATTATTGCATTACGATCAAAACAAACCGTTAATACTGACGTGTGACGCGAGCGCTCGAGGTATAGGAGGCGTGCTCACTCAGCCGTGCACCGGCGCAGCGGGAAGCGAGCGGCCGGTGGTCTATGTGTCGAGAGCTCTCAGCGACGCGGAGAAACATTATTCGCAAATTGATCGCGAGGCTTTAGCAATTTTTTTTTTGCTTAAAAAAATTGCATCAATACCTGTATGGTCGACGGTTCACCTTACGTACTGATCACAAGCCGCTTGTCAATATTTTTGGCCCAAAACATGGCATTCCTTTAAAGGCTGCGAGCCGATTGCAGCGTTGGGCGATTACGGTATCCGCTTACTCTTATGACATAGAGTACGTTAGTAGTAAACAGAACTGTGCGGACTGCTTATCTCGTCTACCGGTATCGGTTCAATCCATAAAGAACGAATGTTTAGATTTACCTGAACAAACGTATTTACATTTCGCTCAAAGTGAAATGTTACTGGATTATAATGAAATTAAAAAACAAACCCAGCGCGATCTGATTTTAGGTAGAATATACTATACTTGAGAGAAGATTGGCCCACCGATAATGAGGTCAAATCATTGCAACCGTATTTTAACCAAAAAAAGGAACTATACGAAGAACTAGGGTGTATCATGTGGGGTCATAGAGTAGTCATACCGGAGAATTGCAGGGGTAGGGTGTTAAACGAACTCCACGAACGCCACATGGGAATCGTCAAAACGAAGGCGGTAGCTCGAAGCTATGTGTGGTGGCCGGGGATCGATGAGGCAATCGAAATAATGTGCCGAACGTGCGTCGTGTGTGCGGCCGAGGAGGACGCGCCCCAACGGCACACTCCAAGCCCATGGCTATGGCCAGCTAAGCCTTGGTCTCGTATACACATAGATTTTTAGGGCCAATATTCAATAAAATTTACTTGGTAATAATTGATGCCAGAACTAAATGTCTAGAGGTTTTTATGTACCGAGTATAGCAGCTAGACACACTATAGTTAAACTTTCCGAAGTTTTTGCTAGGTGGGGTCTACCTAAACAATTAGTATCAGACAATGGGCCGACATTTACCAGTAGGGAATTTTCTCAGTTTTTAACAAATAATGGTATACAGCATGTTTTCACCGCACCGTACCACCCGGCTCCAAACGGTGCCGCGGAAAACGCAGTACGCACGGACAAGAAAGTTATTAAAAAGGCAGTGAGGGAAAATAAAGATATAAATTTATTTTTAAACACTTTCCTATTGCATTATCGAAATACCGAACATTGTACTACGGGCGAAAGTCCCGCTTCTCTTATGTTAGGAAGAAGATTACGTACTAAACTAGACGTACTTAGACCGGATATTGAGAATAAAATTATTAAAACACAATTAAACCAGAAAGAGAACGCTCCCACTGGTGAACGTGGCCTGCAGCCGGGTGATGATGTATGGCTTCGCCAATATCAGGGGAGCGACAAGTGGGCAGCCGGACAAGTGACGCAACGTTTGGGCGTAACGGACTACGAAGTTTTAGACACTATAGGTAAGGAGTCACATAAGCATATCGACCAGCTAAAACGTAGAATTAGGAGTTCACTGATTTGTCCCCGTAGTAGTAATAGTCAGCCAAATTCGAGTTCCGAGTCTTTGTCTTGCTCCGGTGCAGAGGAAATTAATGCGCCTAGAATAAACCCTGCCGTAACAGACACCGGGAGGAAATCAAAAGCACCGGAGGGAACCGAAATAATAGATAAGAGTGACTGCTTAGATACGGCAAGGGAAACGTCAACACTTCGTGCTCCATCAGCTCATACGTCGCCTGTGCCGCCCGCAACGCCGCCCCAGGTCTTACGGCTGGTACGCAAGTGCCGTTTGGATAACCCCCCCCCCCCCCCCCGCTATAAAGAGTAGTTATCATCGCACTATATTACTTTTATATAAGTACTTCTTTTTTTTAAATATTTTCAAGTTTTTTTTTCCTTTTTCTGTATAACAGTATAGTATAAAATACTTACATGTATAACTAATTGTAAGTCTTAATTAAGGGGGGAGGATTGTAATGAGGGTACATTAAATATATAAGTGATTGATTGCAAAAGGCTCGTCGAACAGTCACGAATAAACCGTCAATCCGCTTACCCGTGTCTTATTTACGAAATACACTACAATAACTAGCATAGCGAGCCCAACCTCGGCACACCTAGTACTATTCGCTGACGAGTTCCAATAGCGGTCAACAAAGTATACCTTCAGGTCACTCCATCAAGTCCGGAGGTAAGGACTCATCATAACTAACAAGAAGAACCCAAACTCGACACACTTAGTTCTACTCGTCGAGGAGCTGCAGTGCTTGTCACCGAACTACACCTTCAAGTCACTCCATCAAGTCCGAAGGCATGGTCTTATCATAACTGACAAAACTAGCCCAAAGTACACAGCTAACATCTCACTGCCAGTGGAGGGCTTCCAATGGCAATCAGTCTCCGGAGTAGGTACTCGTATTTCGTATCTAAGTATATTTTGAGGTATAAAGAATGAAAAACCAAATTCAATCTTTCAAATTATCAAAATATGTAATTTTATTTGACTACGATTCCCACAGCCAACCGTGCGTACACTTGTGTGTGTGTGACTTGTGTAATGTAATAGTTCGATTTATCATATCAATTTTGTAAACACGTTTTTAATTAATTTTTGTTATTTTATGCAGCCCCTGCGGTGCGCATGCACTGTAGTAGAGCATCGTCTAGCAGGGTCGCCATGTAACGTAGGAAAGGCGTCCATGAAGGAGACGTGTTTCTATTACTAAAACTTTAAATATACTTCTTACTATTGTATACGTAATACAAATACATATAATTTCAAATGGATCTACACCACAAAATAAACGATAATATTCTGGCCATGTGTATTTGCACGTTCAAGTGCAGCAATTAGGTAGTTAGGTACTGCGATGAGAGCAGGCAACCCTGACGAAGAATCTGGCGTAGCAGTATTCAGGCTCTTTGCAGACTGTATAAAGCTGCGTGTAAATTTGCCAATGATCATCCCCACTTCCATCGATCACATCCCGCACTTGACTTTTGCCACTATAAAAATGATAGCGCATAATATATTTCAAGGGTAAGTCATGTCAGTTATGAATAGGTTAATTTTATGAAATTTTTAACGATTCAACGATTGCAGGTAGTCAACTCGGCTTACGACGCAGTAGCGTTAACAACGTTTTCCCTAGTGAAAATCGACACGTGACGTCATGATGCTATTGGCAAATATACGCGTTCTAAACCAACTTGCTTTGCTTCAAAAACTTAAAACCCTGTAGGGGCGGAACCGTCCTGGTTTTGCACGGGTGATTTCTGTATCTCGACAACAGTGCCGCCTACCGGATCCAAGAGTGAATTTAAACCATTCTCGAATTAACTTAATCACACGCACAAAATTGCATTAAGATCGGTCCAGGTCGAAGTTCAGTGAGGTACATACGGACTGAAGAGTGAATATATAAAGATGTATACCCTGACGAAGAGCGGGCAGCCCTGTCCATAGAAGCCGACGCGGAAGTACTCGGGCTCGGGGCGCAGCTGCGCCAGCGCTGCGTCCAGGAAGGCAGCGTGACGTCGCAGCACGTGCGCCAGCCGCGCGTGCTCGCAGCGCGCCTCGTACAGCGCGCCCAGCTCACGCAGCAGCGGGAACCCTTTCTCCCAGCACTGCGCACATCGCACGACGCATACTTATACTCCGCCAAATATTACCTATACGGCCTATCTATTCTGTTACAAGTCATTGTAGTTTGGGCTCATTTTAGAATTACGAAAATACCTAAAAAGTTATTCCAAATAAAACATTGGAACAAAATAAATCTTGTGACAAACCTACTAAGAAAATTTACATTATTTAAATGTTGTAGTGGCAGCCTAAGCGCCCATCACCACTTATCATTACACGAGTGTCGTAAGAAGTCACAGAGGGATATGAAACACATAAGCAACAGCATCTTTCTGATAACACAAAAAAGTACAAAAAAAACCACTGCGATTGCATCCTTTCTTCAAAGTTGACAACTTTAGCGAATATTCCCCATATAAAGTCATCATGGGTGTGAGAGTTCGTTCTGCCAGGGAATTTTGAATAATTCCTACATTCTCCAATTTAAAACAAAAAATGTGATTACAAAAAACATGAGTGAAGGACACACGTGGAAGAAGTGAAACTTTCAGAAGACTAAACTTCGAAAGAATGAGACGAATGCAGACTATCAGGAGTGGGATAATTGTAGGGTTTATTTATTATAATATTGTTACCAAGATTAAAAAACCTTACATTATATATAAAACAGACTTTAAGTTTTTTTAATTTCAACCAAATGACACGGTGGCTTATGTTAACTAAAGTATGAATATTATTTTAATATTGTTTCATTTACCTAACTTGATAAGATATATAGATTTTCAATAAGTACCGCATATAATTCAAGATAAAAGTTTGATTTCATAGAAAATAAATGTTACAATCCTTAGTTTTAGACATGTAGAGCCTAAATTTTAGCATAATAAATCGAAAAAATATTTTATTTCGAGTATTTCTTCGTAATAACGCCATGTACTTCATTCTGTAGATAGTCATTTTATCGAACAAAAATTGAGTGACACTCAAGATGGTACGTAAAATAGACGGTAGATGTAAAGTAAAGTAAAGTTACAGCCGATATACGTCCCACTGCTGTGTTGGGCACAGGTCTCCCCTCATTTCTAAGAGGGTTTTAGGGCAAGGAAGTGTCCACCGCGCTGCCCCAATGCGTGTTGGCGAACTTCACATGTCTTCGAAATATTTTTTTTTCTTATTCCTCAGACATGCAGGTTTCCTCACGATGTTTTCCTTCACCGCCGAGCACGTGGTAAATCAGCACTTAAAATTGCAATTAACAATTTCATTGGTGTCGGCGGGGATCGAACCCGAGTTACTCGCGTTCTATTATATTTATTATAGCCAGCGTTAAGACCGATTTACACTTCGACAAGTACAGTAGCGAGTTAACTTGTGAACCTGGCGAGTTAAGTTTGAACCTCGTTTGAACGGCAAAAAGCGAGTTAAGTAGCAAGTTAACGATTAAGTTGAACGGGATAGCCGGCCGAGCTATTTTTCGGTGAGTGTGAAGTGCTGCCCTCCCGCGCGTCTCGCGCCACCCGCAACTAAACTCGCCGTTCGTGTAAACGAGCGAGTTTAGTTCTATGCATAAGTTGACAGGACGTAGCGTTTGCGCGCCAAAACGTACAATTGTACTTTTATAATGAAACTCGCCACTAACTTTGTACGATACTGTTTATTGAATATTTATACGTTTTATATTGAGTTTTAATAATAAAATGGACGGAAGATATCACGTATACATTCGTACAGAAGTATTTAGAACACGAATGTTTATATAATAGTAGAAGTTTAAATTCTAAAATTAAACCTGCTCGAGATGCTGCACTCATAAAAATTCTTAAAAACTTCTTTAACAACAACCATTAATATTTCTCTGAATGGATCATTTAATTCTTGACGTAATCCTAGAACCATCTTTAACGAAAACCAGAAAAATTCTGTAGTCTTGAAACGTCATACTCCAACGAGCTCTATGAACTAATGTTCTTAACTAAACTCGCCTAACGAAGACATTGTTTGAACACTACTTGCCCACTTAACCGTTTACTGTCAACTGTCCTGTAACTTACTCGCTACTGTACTTATCGAAGTGTAAATCAGTCTTTAAAGACGATAGATGGTCAGTAGTTAAAGAATCGTGGATTGTTTAAATGGATTGGATATGATAATTTTATTCGATATGGTTACTTTCATTTATTTAATAAATTTATTAAACGTTTATGTTTATTTTAACAGTTACAATTTATATTAACCATCTAAGGACCGCACAGAGAGGAGACTGAGATAATATGAAACACAGATTTTTTAACACCAGCAATGCTGTTCACATTATTAACCATCTAAGGACCGCACAAAGAGGAGACTGAAATAATATGAAACACAGATTTTTTAACACTAGCAATGCTGTTCACATTATTAACCATCTAAGGACCGCACAAAGAGGAGACTGAGATAATATGAAACACAGATTTTTTAACACTAGCAATGCTGTTCACATTATTAACCATCTAAGGACCGCACAAAGAGGAGACTGAGATAATATGAAACACAGATTTTTTAACACTAGCAATGCTGTTCACATTATTAACCATCTAAGGACCGCACAAAGAGGAGACTGAGATAATATGAAACACAGATTTTTTAACACTAGCAATGCTGTTCACATTATTAACCATCTAAGGACCGCACAAAGAGGAGACTGAGATAATATGAAACACAGATTTTTTAACACTAGCAATGCTGTTCACATTATTCATACTCTCTTTATCCACTACTGTACTGGTAAGCTAAAAATGATTGTGTTAGAAGTGGTTCACGACAGAGGTCAAAAGGCGGATTTATACTTTAGTTTGCGGTCCGCACCTGCTATAAGGCTACTGTCACTTACCATACTGTATTCTATCTCATTCTCTCGCATGCTAAATCCTATAGATGTATATGTTTTTTTGTTTGTCTATTTGTTTCTTTTTACTGTCGCTTTTTTCGTTTCATACTTTCAAATTATAACAATTCTAAAAAAAATTTACTAAAAGAACTATTCTACTAACTTTAATGCCACAAGTGAATAATATTATCATTCGTGAACTTGAAATTATTAATTTATGTAAAGAGAGTACCTTTCCGCGGTCGAAATATTCGAGCACTTGATTATACAGAGATTCTTTACGCTTCCATTCGGGGACATCAGGATGTTCTGGATCCACGCCTATTTGATCACTGTCCCAACTTAAAGTTTCCGCATATAGCTGAAAATAATTACACTATTAATTATATTCAAATTATTAAATTATTATTATATAAATTATTATTCAAAAACAGTAATTGTTAGCGCCACGAGATGAATCATCTTATTAAAGCTTTCAATTTTATTGTATATACGTAGAGAATGATTATTCTCTACGTATAATATCTCTCTTCTTCTCTATCTTATCAAATGCTAATTTCTGATAGGTAAACAATGAATGAATGTTATCGTATTAACTTAGAGTCATGTGTTACGTTTTAATTAAAAATGTAATACAATATGAAAAGAGAAATAAAAACAATTATGGCCTTTAATCACTTTACTAGTTTATGTTATAATTTGATTAAAGATAAGACATTCCAATCTATTAGAAAGAGACAGTTTAATGTTATAATGAAAAGGTGTATATTTATAAACAGGGACAAATATAATTGTTAGAGAGCGATAGCTAGAACCTCCCCAGGGTCCCGCAGAACTCGATATAGCTACTTGCAAGGATGATTGCACATCGTCCCATGGTCAAGCGCGAAACGATTTTTAAAGACATTTGTCATTTTCAGAATTTTCTAAAATAAATGTAATAGCTACTTGTAATTGTTTTAGCTAGACGCTGTATCGATATAATATAATGCAAATGTCATTAGGACTTTGTTTGAATAATAAAATATTGAGATAATGTAAAAATAAAATGTCATATTAAAAGTCCATTTTTGCCTAAAAGTTTGTATATTAATCTGCTTGAAGTTTTAATTCTCGCATTAAATTGTTGATCTCTGCCCCACAAAATTGGTTGTACATTATGATATTATGTCTAGTATTTTATTCATGTTTTATATAATGTGAATATTTTATCGCTTTTGTGATGAGTTTTAATTCGTTCTTTTTGGAAAATATAACTGTCATGAGTGTTTTTATGTAAAATAAATATATGTCACAAATTAGGGTAATGTGATAACGAAAATTATGCGCGCAATGAAGGGATTTTTACGCCGGACTCCCTTCACGGTTTAGCTCAGTAGTACTTAAGGAAATCGGTTAATTGCAATTTGATCGGGACCAGCTAGAGTTTCAAGATATAAAAAAGAAAGATAAACGGGAAAGTGATAGTGAAAGTAAAAGTTATCACATTTACTTGAGTAGTTATAAGTAACTGTTGTTTATTTAACAGTGTCGACCCTATAAGTTAGGGAATGAAAGAAAATATACAGTTCACTAAGTTTATGTCTGACGTCTAGACCGGGGAACGAACGCTGAACCCGTAATCTCAGGCGTCAACCACTTTTTGTATTGAGAAGGAGCGGTTTGTGTTTCTGAATTTAACTTTATCGGGGGTCACACCCACGGCGTTGCTTTCCGAACCCAACGAGGTGTGGTATAGACAAGGGGGCCAGTACTTGGTAGATTGCTGTTAGGCGTGGGACGCAGAAGTAAGACCATCCTCCTTTTCAATTAGTCCTTCGCCGCCGGGTTATGACCTAACATCCAGAAACGCTTCTGCTATCTTTTCATACATTAATACTAGAAAAAATACAAGTCCGATGATGTCCCGGACGACAGTCTTAGCGAGATTAGAATGGCTCTCCACCACCTTAAAAACGGCAAGGTCCCAAGCGAGGATGGAATTACAGCGGCGCTTCTGAAAGAGGGTGGAACACCGGTACTTGAAGTCCTTCAGAAGCTCTTCAATTCCGTCCTCCATGGTGGCACTACTCCGGAGGCGTGGAGCAGAAGCGCGGTGGTCTTGTTCTTTAAGAAAGGCGACAATGCTCTCTTGAAGAACTACAGACCGATTTCCCTTCTGAGCCGCGTCTACGTGCTGTTTTATAGTCATTAGGAATCGTTTCGCACGCAGACTCGATGACTTCCAGCCTCCCGAATAAGCCGGTTTCCGAAAAGGCTTCAGTACCATGGACCACATACATACCCTGCGGCAGATTGTACAGAAAACCGAAGAGTACAATCTGCCACTTTGCCCGGCGTATATGGACTACGAGAAAGCCTTCGATTCCGTCGAAATTTGGGCGGTGCTACAGTCCCTACAGCGGTGCCAAGTTGACTGTCGGTATATTGAAGCGCTAAAGTGTTTGTTTAGTAGGGCTACGATGGCTATCCGAGTATAGAACCAGAGTACGAAACCCATCCAACTGTAGAGAGGTGTAAGACAGGGTGACGTTATAATTCCGAAACTCTTCACCGTTGCATTGGAAGACGTTTTCAAGCTACTGGACTGGAAAGATACGGTATTAACATCAATGGCGAGTACATCACTCACCTTCGATTTGCTGACGATATTGTCCTTATGGCAGAATCGCTGGAGGACCTAAGCACTATACTTAATGATCTCAATAGTGTCTTCCAACGGATAGGTCTTAAGATGAACATGGACAAAACAAAGATCATGTTTAATGTTCATGTCACACCTATGCCGGTAGTAAGCTCGAAGTTGTTAACGAGTACGTTTACCTGGGACGAATAGTCCGACTAGGTAAGTCAGACTTCGACCGAGAGGTCAATCGACAGATTTAACTCTCTGGGCTGGGTAGCGGTCCGGAAAATACGTCACATCTTTTCGTCAAGTATACCTCAAAACCTGAAAACTAGATTGTACAATCAGTGCGTGTTGCCAGTGATGAGTTGTGGCTCTGAGACGTGGTCACTCACTGCTGACCGTATAAGGACGCTCAAGGTCCCTCAGCGAGCATGGAGCGGGCTATGCTCGGGGTTTCTCTGCGTGATAAACTTAGAAATGAGGATATCCGCAGTAGAACCAGAGTGACCGACATAGCCTAACGGATAAATAAGTGGCAATGGGTCGGCCATATAGCTCGAAGAACCGACAACCTATGGGGAAAAAAGGTTCTCGAGTGGCAGCCTCGTACCGGTAGGTGTAGTGTAGGGCGACCCCCCACTAGATGGAGTGACGACCTGGTAAGACATGCAGGAAGTCGATGGATGCAGGTGGCTCAGGACCATGCTTCGTGTCTACTTGGGGGAGGCCTATTTTCAGCAGCGGACTTATGAAGGGCTGTAATGATGATGATGATACTTACAGATTATTAAAAAAACATTGCTATGGTATTCTCATTAAAAAAAAACAGCGAGTATGTTATTTTAATGGTAAAAAAGTTAGGTTATGGGCCCAGGCCGCTCCTGGCTCATAAAAAATACATAGTTCTCGCGACAGTATAATTATTGATTATCAGGACATTATCGATAATAATAATTCGTGGCAGAATAGTACTAAGTGTGTTGAGTTGTGCAGATTTATTGTGTCGTCAGGCATCAGTAATGGCGTCCAGTTCGAACTATCACATTAGTGAGCCGAAACTGCAAGGGCGCGAAAATTACAGTGAATGGTGTTTCGCAGCAGAAAATTTCCATGTCTTAGAGGGAATGGTTGGGTGTATCAAACCTGAGCCCAACGTTGCTCCAGCAGCTGCAGACGATGCGAGAACAAAAGCGAAGTTGATTCTAACAATTGACCCGGCTCTTTATGTTCATATAAAGAATGTAGCAACATCGAAAGAATTGTGGGATAAATTGAAGATGTTATTCGATGACTCGGGATTTACAAGAAAAATAAGTCTTCTGAGGAATTTAATATCTATTCGATATGTAACACAAATTGTTGAAGCTGGTCAGAAATACAAAAAAACAAGGTACGGGATTTGGCATAAATGACGAGTGGATCGAATCTATCATGTTGGCTAGATTATCTGAAAAATATATGCCCATGATAATGACAATCGAGCATTCCGGCATGGTAATCACAACCGACGCCATTAAAGAGAAATTGATGGACATGGAACCGGAAGACAGTGATGCCAACAATGCGTTTGCTTGTTTCCGTAAGAATCAAAAATCAAAGAATGTAAAGAGTACACAAACTATGGTCAAGAAAGATGGTGGGAATGAACGAATGTCGACATCTGTCAAAGAAAAACAAAACGTCAAATGTTATAATTGTAAACAACATGGCCACTACCGTAATCAATGCACTAATAAAGATAAATCTTACAAGAATTCTGCAAATAAATCGTCAAAAACAAGTAATGCATTCAGTGCCGTGTTTTTTTTTAGCAGAATATTTGACAAGAGTGACTGGTATGTCGACTCTGGTGCAAGTTCGCATTTGACAAGCAATAAAGATTGGATGGTCGACGAATGTTATTCTGGGTTAACCAAGGAAATCATGGTAGCTAACCAGAATAAAATCCCAGTGTTGTGTTGTGGAAACGTAAACGTAACAACGTCAACAGTTATTTTAAAATCACATCCTTCAGTTGACGTTGTTACGTTTACGTTTCCACAACACAACACTGGGATTTTATTCTAGTTAGCAACCATGATTTCCTTGGTTAACCCAGAATAACATTCGTCGACCATTCAATCTTTATTGTACGGACTAAGCGTTCCATTGTACGCGTATTCGGTTACGTGTACACAGGGACGCTAGTCCGCACGTGCAGCAGTGCTTATGCAATTTGAGCACGCGTGTCGATTCTCGGCGAGTTGTCATCAATCGACATTGAGTAGTGCCGCAGTGATGGTGCACACGACAGCTGTGTTGCGAGACAATGCGGATACTGGCTGGTGGCTGGCCGACTTGCGATTTGTCACCACGCGTTCATAATCTCGCAATGCATAAAAGTGTAATCGCGTATTCAACATACCTAGACTACGCGTACGTTGCGTACGTACATTGGAACGCTTAGTCCGTACGAAGGCTTAAGAGAGTCATAAAAGTATTGTCTTCGACTGAATATTTAAATGTAGAATACAACATTTGATAGAAACTTACCAAAAGCGTGCAACCCGCCTCTACAAAATTATCGGATGCAATGTGCAGGTCATGTAGCTTGTACACGTAGCGCAGGTACATCTCCTTACGATCGATCTCATTTTTGTAGAAATTCTGAAAACATATTTCTAATCGTAGCATTGTTGAATAGGTAGAGAGAAAGTTATTTTTAAAGTATGCATTGAATATCAATGCTAACCTTATAAATAATTAAAGCATAAATAACTGTTACATTAATGTTAAGTCTATGTGTCTTTCGGGCTGTTACTCCACAAGAATAACTTATATGTTAATTATTGACGTGTTAATTTGACTCTTTTACGTGGTAGAGCCATGCTGCAGTTATAGTAGTATTGTAGCACGAATGGGTCGGCTCGACCGGGGCAGGACAACGCTCTCACAGAATACCAGCGTAAAATAGTAGCTTAATGCCGGTGTTTCGTACGGTGAGTGTAGAGAACCGGAGACCCTTTTTACTGGAAACAAGGCATTCCATCTTAGTCCTCACGGGTGACAACGCATCTACATTTTGATTCGTAGTCGATGATAGATGTAGATGTCTAAGGGCTACAGCAACCACTTACCATCAGGTGGACTGTGTGCTCGTTTGACACCCTATCCTATTAAAAAAAAAATAAAAAAAAAATTACTCACAAGCAAGTTAACAGTAGCGGCCATTCTTTTATCTCTGTGCTCGGCTCCTTGCATCACAGCACGGTAGTCCAAAAGCCTCTCTAGCAAGCGCGTGACGCAGCCCACAAAAGCGGCACCAGCCTCCCGCCAGCCTTCCGTCGAAACTCGCTCCATTAGCCTGGAACGCAACAATACTCATTACAATTAATCATATTTTTCACACAGGTTTCTATATTTTTGATTAGATTATACCTAAATAATACAGTTGTGAAGTTTTACATAAATTGTAACTACATTTCGGTAAGGAATAAATGCTTGTTAGAATAAAAAAAAAATCAGATGCAAGGATAGAAAAGCGTTAATACGAAGGATATTATTTTTAAGTGTACTTACACTGAACTTAAATGCTCCCTGCCAATAAGCAGCGTGCACATCAACAAATATAAATAGGTTTCATTACTATAAGAAGTGTTTAGCAACTGTAAGTATCCTAATACGTACAAATAAGCATTGTAGGGAATATATGTACATTCGTCTTAGCTTCTGTAAAAATAAGACGATATTGCAAATATTGTAAACGAAGATTACATGAATAAATTTTTACATGTGACAATCAATCCATTATCTAATTATAGGTAATAAAGCCCTCTTAGATGAAGCTAGTAACACATGCAGGAAGTCGATGGTTGTAAGTAGCTCAGAACAGAGGCAAATATTTAGGAGTGGATTTGTGAGGAACTTTAGTGATGATAAGTACTATTCGAATACAATAAATGCAATCACACTACTTCTACGTACCAAAATACACGCCAAACTAATTTCGGAAACGATACATCTTGAAATAGATGAAAACTATCGTTTAATAGGCTCAAACAAAAATGCCTATCATGGTACTGGACGTGTCGTTCTCAAAATTCAAATACCTGAATACCGAGGGTCAATGCAACGTCTTGCTAAGTGGTGTTACTGTATAACCACGTATAAAACATCGGATACGAGCATTGAAGTAATATGTACTTACGTACTAGAACAGCTATTTTAAACAAAAAATGTGCGCTACTCTGTGTTCACGCGGTTGGTTTTTTTTATCATAGAATAAACATAGGTAGAATGATCCGTAGGTAATAATAGATTATATTGTTAAATAGGTAAATTGTATCGAGAATAATATTTAAATTTTGACATTTATTTTGTATATTATATTTCTTATTTAATATAATTTTACATAATATTATATTATAATTACATTTTAATGATATTTTTATCTGAATATTTTAAAAGGTATCTATGTCAAATATAAAAAGAAAACATACTAAATATATATTTAACAAAACTTATTAACGTAACATATAAATTAGAAATATATTTATTTAAATTATAATAAGAGTCGTTCATAAATGCTGGGTACGCGAGAGTTAAAAATGGACGAATTTATTCCACTTTACTTTGATGTGGAACCCTAAAAATAAAATAAAAGAATAATATTAAGCAGATTTAAATATGAAAAATTTTGCCTAATCATATTAACTTATATATGCTTCTACAAAAAATGTGTATAATAATATATTCGTCCTATACTTAAGAACCCACAGAAATGTCGCATCTGAACATATTAATTTCATAATCTATATTCCATGAGACGAGATGGCGTCTTAGGAATAATTTGTTTTATTATTAATCTATAATACTTTTTTTAATGATTAAGTATCTTATTAAAAGATGAAAAGTAATTTCTTGGTTTTACTGAAATTTTTTGAATTATTTGTACAATATCTAAGTACACACGACGGCATATTTTTATCAAGAGATTTTTTTTATATCAACAAAACACGTGACAACTCTACAAGCGCCTAGCGAGTGACTGATTAAAGTGCGGTATATGCACCGCAGTTGAGTGGAACAGAGTAGCTGAATGCAGTGTCGCCTCTAGTACGTAGTACATAATAGCTCAATGGATACGAGCAAGAATCAGCTTGCGATAAATTTTTAAATAGTATATTTAACTGACACAGTGTCGAAGAGGCGGCGGTAGTGGTCGTCGGCCTTGTTGTCGGCGACGAGCGAGTCGAGCTTGTCAACGAGCGCAGCCTCGGTGCGGCGCGCGGACCCGGTGGCGGCGCGCTCGGCCGCCATGAGAGCCACCAGCGCGCCCCGCGCCGCTCGCCGGAGCGCGCCCACCAGCGTCACCTCCAGCAGCGCGCCCACCGCTACGCCGATCAGGTGCAGCTGCGCCGCGCCTGCCATACGCCGAAATTACCCTTATCACTTACACGTACGGTTCAGATTTACTAGCATGCTGACCGTCGCGTCAACACACTCGCTTATTGCACTTTTTGAGATATAGTTCAAATTTACCAGCGCATCTACCGTTACACCAAACACGTGAAGATGTACCACGATTGCATATGCACATAATGCACTTTATGTCCTCGTGATGTGGTTGATTATTACAAGCCCGCTCAACATTATGTCGATTAGGTGAAAGCTGTGCACGCTTGCCCATGTATTTGTAATGCGGTAAACGTTAAAAAAACCAACAAGCGGACGCTATACTGATTCAGTACATTCCCAGTCAATGCTATTATTGAAATTGGACTTTTTTGCTTTTTAATACGGTTGAATTTTCACACAACTATTTTGTTTTCTCTAAATATTTATTACGATCATCATCATCATCATCATTACAGCCCTTCACAAGTCCACTGCTGAACATAGGCCTCCTCCAAGTAATGCCTGAGCCAACTGCAACCACCGACTTCCTGCATGTCTACAGGTCGTCACTCCATCTAGTGGGGGGTCGCCCTACACTACGCCTACCGGTACGAGGCTGCCACTCGAGAACCTTTCTTCCCCATCGGTTATCGGTTCTTCGAGCTATATGGCCGGCCCATTGCCACTTCAGCTTACTAATCCGCTGGGCTATGTCGGTCACTCTGGTTTTACTGCGGATATCCTCATTTCTGAGTCTATCACGCAGAGAAACTCCGAACATAGCCCTCTCCATAGCACGCTGAGCGACCATGAGCGACCTCATACGGCAAGCAGTGAAGGACCACGTCTCTAATCCGTAAGTCATCACTGGCAACACGCACTGGTTGTACACTTTAGTTTTCAGAGATTGAGGTATACCTGACGAGAAGATGTGTCGTAATTTCCCGAACGCTGCCCAGCCGAGTTGAATCCGTCGATTGACCTCTCGGTCGAAGTTGGACTTACCTAGTCGGACTATTTGTCCCAGGTACGCGTACTCGTCAACAACTTCGAGCATAGTGCTCCCAACAACTACCGGCATAGGTGTGACATGGACATTAAACATGATCTTTGTTTTGTCCATGTTCATCTAAGACCTATCCGTTGGGAGACACCATTGAGATCATTGGGCATAGTGCTAAGGTCCTCCAGCGATTCTGCCATAAGGACTAACTATATCGTCGGCAAATCGAAGGTGAGTGATGTACTCGCCATTGATGTTAATACCGTATTCTTTCCAGTCCAGTAGCTCGAAAACGTCTTCCGACGCAGCGGTGAAAAGTTTCGGGCACATAACGTCACCCTGTCTTACACCACTCTGCAGTTGGATAGGTTTCGAACCCTGGTTCTGTACTCGGATAGCCATCGTAGCCCTACTGTACAAACACTTCAGCACTTCGATATACCGACAGTCAACTTGGCACCGCTGAAGGGACTGTAGCACCGTCCAAATTTCGACGGAATCAAAGGCTTTATCATAGTCCACATACGCCAAGCAAAGTGGCAGATTGTACTCTTCGGACTTCTGTACAATTTGCCGAAGGGTATGTATGTGGTCTATGGTACTGAAGCCTTTTCGGAAACCGGCTTGTTCGGGAGGCTGGAAGCCGTCGAGTCTGCGTGCGAGACGATTCGTAATGACTCTCGAAAACAGCACGTAGACGCGGCTCAGAAGGCAAATCGGTCTGTAGTTCTTCAAGAGAGCGTTGTCCCCTTTCTTAAAGAACAAGACCACCGCACTTCTGCTCCACGCCTCCGGAATAGTGCCACCATTGAGGACGGAATTGAAGAGCTTCTGAAGGACTTCAAGTACCGGTGTTCCACCCGCTTTCAGAAGCTCCGCTGTAATTCCATCCTCGCCTGGGGCCCTGCCGTTTTTAAGGTGCTGGAGAGCCATTCTAATCTCGCTCAGACTGACGTCCGGGATATCATCGGAATAGTGTCGGATAAGACTTGCTCTTGGATCATTACTCACACTTGCGTATGGCTCCAACGATGATGTGTACAGCTGCCCATAGAACCTCTCAATCTCACTCAAAATCTCAGGTGTCCCGGAAACGATGCTGCCACACTCAGTCTTCGGCTTTGACAGTTAGCTCTTTCTGGCAGACAGATCTCTGGCAATGACTTTGGAGCCCTGGTTCCGCTCGATCGCTTCTTTAATACAAGCAGTATTAAAGTTGCGTAAGTCTCGCCGCATGCATTTGGAGATGTCTGTTCAGTTGCCTGTATGCTGTCAAATCTGTTGACAATTGCAGCCTCATCTCCCGTCTAAGCCATGAGATAAAGAGTGTGATCGGAGAGTTTTTGTGTTCTTCTGCGGCGGGTCTTGCAGAACAGCTCCGACCGCATGGACAGTTTCCACGAGCTTGTCATTCATATCGTCCACTGCATTGCAATTTTCTAGGCACTGGAAGCGGTTACGTAACTCGAGCTGAAAAGTCTCGGGATTCTGGATTAGAGCACGAGGGGGACGGAGCGTTGACTTCATTAGACGAGACCTCTCCAACTTAACTTTTAGGTTCAGTGTGCCTCTAACCATTCGGTGATCGCTGCCGGTTTTCACCCTTGCGATCACTGAGACATCACTGAACAGTTGGCGTCTGGTCGTCATAATGAAGTCAATCTCATTTTTTGTCGAACCGTCGGGGCTCGACCAGGTCCACTTCCTGTGGGGCCGCTTCTGGAAGAAAGAGTTCATCATAAAGAGTCCCTCTTTATCCATAAAGTCAGCCAGCTGCTGGTCCCTACGGTTCCGTTGCCCTACTCCAAATTTCCCTAATTTCAGCTCACCGCCTTCTCTTGTGCCTAGTTTTGCGTTGAAGTCTCCAATCAACACCGTGTAGTGGGTTTTGGAGGAATTCATGGCTCGCCAATGCGAGCGATGCATTCCTCCAAAACAAGAAATATCCTCATACATTTCCTCCACCTCCTCATCGGGATGTGCCGAGGTTGGTGCGTAGACCTGTATGACCTTCAGCGAATACCGTTTGGTGATTCTGAGTATCAGGTACGCGACCCTCGTCGACACACTCCCAATCTTTACAACGTTGTTGACGAGAGACTTGTGGACGATAAATCCGAAACCTCCTTGGGACAGATGGTCGCCCTCCCGGTGATAGAACAAGTTGCCGGACTCGAGGATTACCGTGTCCTCCCCCTCTCTTCGGACCTCAGATAATCGAATAATATGCCAGCGTAACGTGTCTACCTCTTCTACCAGCTCCAGTATCTTCTCGTCAGTCCTCAGGGTGCGGGCGTTATATGTTGCCAGGTCGAGTCGTCGTAGGTGGCAACCGAACTTCCACCGGAGATTCTTAGCACCCCCTGCCCCACCGTTACCATGGTCGCCACCGTAGCCAGGAATAGCGGGGCCGCCGGGAACTGGGGGCCGTTTATTTGCGTCGTTGCTCATGGGGGGATATTTGCCATAGTTGCCACGCTTGGCGAGCGGGTTGGCAACCGAAGTTTTTTATTATGTTATTGTTGTTATTAGGAAGATGCTGCTGGCCATCTCCTGCCTGTCTCCCTCTGTCGCCTCTTACGACACCCACGGGAAGATATGTGGTAGTGGATATTCTCAACCGCCACTACACAGCTAATGCTATATGTATGGCTATATGTATTTTTTCACCCTATCTGACCGTAAATTGTAACAATTGACAGCTAAGCCTTACTTATGTTGTACCTTACTTATGTTTAACTTTACATTATATAACACGATAAAGTTGCAATAAATTATATTTGCTTTGCATATTGAATCTTTTTTTATAACTGCACTCCTCTCCAGGCCATTACCGCTGAAGGTTCAGTATACAGTATGAGCCGTGATGTATAATGAGTAGCTGGTAGGGTCGTGCAGCACGCGGCATGTCACCGTACGACTTGCGGGTGATGCTGGCGTGCTGTGTTGACATCATCAGCTGCAAGTGTTAGAGCTTAGGTCTTAGGTAGGGGCGTACGTCACGATGGAACTTGCAGGTGCTGCATACGTGTGCGAGGACTTACCGAGGCGGCTCCAGACGGCAAGCACTTGCAGGCCGGCGGCCTGGCGCATGCGCGCACGGTCGGGCCCGCGGCCCGCGCATCGTTCCCACTGCAACGCGCGGCACGTCACCAGCGCCACGCCCAGCTCAAGGTACCCCGACCATAACTGACCAACAATTCACCATCCGTCATTCATTCATTAATTTAATTATTCATTTGTAGCAGCCAGATTAATCAAACCTAAACGGGAATAAATAATATATACTCCGCTGCTACCATAACGCGGAAGGCGAGAATAAATAAAAAAACATTTTATTTCCTAATTATTCTTGGCTACTGATATACTGCGGACTATATATAGATAATTTGACGTTCTTATAAAGAAACAAGAAGCAGCCGCAAATATCATTCAGCGCCACACCGACTTCACACGCCGCTATCGTCACGTATCCGTCGACCAATGGTGAGCCGTTTCTTCAACGCCGCAGTTCGTTTCCTCTTGCTGTTCCGGAGCTGTGTTCCACGCCGCCGCCGCCCGCCGACTACGCGTGCGCACCGATCTGCATGTCTTATATAGCCCGGTCCAGCGACGTAGCTTCGTGAACAACAAACAAGTCTCACGCCGGGAAACGAAACGTAGATAATTGTATATTTTAAATAGTTTTCATTGGTCATAAAATAAGCAATATAATTGGCTAGGCAAAATATTAATTGTTACCATTGGCAAATCCATAGTGAGCCAGCCATATAAATATAGGCAAGGTTGATGCAAAAGATATTCCATTCCGAATCCCATTCGACAGTACATTCATAAACATAAACAGTAGTTTCATTTCTCCACCTTGAAGAAAACCACTCGGAGTCTGTTAATAGTGGACAGTTCATCTCCACTATTACAGTGGTGACCCCGTACGAACACCGAGGGGGAAGATCCGGTACGAACACCAAGAAGGAACACCCTGCGACGTACCACTACTATTGCACGAACAACGCGAAGGAAACCCGTACGAACACCGAGAAGGAAGACTTCAGTTTATATAAAATCAGTGTAATCAAGCCGTCATTATGGAGCAGGAGGCAAACACATATACATCAAACCCGGTAAAGGAACCAGAAATCGCCGGTATATCTCTATCGTTAAGAATACCACCGTTTTGGAGAGACAAACCACGACTTTGGTTCGTCAGTTTTGAAGCCGCAACGAATGGTTTAAAGAAGAGCCAAGCGCAATTAGCACAGATGGTGATAGCCCAACTTGAGAAACAAGACATCGAACAAATTGCGGACCTGTTGTACAACCCACCAGCAGTCGACCAGTATAATTCACTGAAGGATCGTCTGATCTCCGCATATGAAGAATCCGACAGTCGACAGCTACAAAAACTTCTATCAGAAATAGAACTTGGAGACCAGAAACCCACACAACTCCTACGCAAAATGCGTACTTTGGCGCGAGATAAAGTTCCGGATTCAACACTACGGCTAATGTGGGTAAACCACCTACCACCACATATTCGATCGGTAATAGCAGTCAGCGAAACATTCAGCACGCAGACGAAGCTCGACGAACTGGCACTCCTGGCGGACAAGATGATCGAAAACAGCAGTAGCTCACACATATCGAACATTGAAGGCACTTCAACAAAGGCCAATGATACCCAGTTTCTTCTCGAAGAAATTCGGAAGCTATCATTCGAAGTCGCCGCGCTCAAAGCTTCCCAGCATCATACCTTTTACCAGCAACAGTACAACCAGCGCAATCAGCAACACCGAAGATCACCTTTTCGTCGCAACCGCTCTGCAAGTAGAAGTCGAATAAGCTCAACATCAAGATCCCCTTACTGCTACTATCATCGACGTTTCGGGGTCGAGGCAAGAAAATGCACAGCACCGTGTACATTCAAAAATGAAAATACGAATACGGAAAACTAACTAGTACGCTCGATGCGACGGGATCCAGCGTAACAGCAAAGTCCTACCGTCTTTTCGTCACCGATAAAAAAAGCAAGCTTACTTTCCTTATCGACACCGGAGCAAATATCTCAGTGTTACCGCCGAAGCAAGGACAGAAGTTGAAGCCACTAGATTTTCAACTCTATGCAGCAAACAATACGGTTATTCCTACATATGGAGAAAAAACAATGGAACTTGATTTTAATCTACGCCGACCATTCAAATGGAGATTTATCGTCGCTAAAGTCAGCAAACCAATCATCGGTGCTGATTTTCTTCAACATCACCAGTTGGTCGTCGACATCAAAAATAGAAGAATCATCGACGGGAAAACCAATCTTGCATCTCAGTCTTTTGTACAAGCAACCAATCTGCCCACAATAAGAAGCATAGATGTGCAACAACCGTATCACAAGATCCTCGAAGAATACCCTGGTATCACAAGAATAACTTCAATGAAATTAACACCGAAGAACGACGTTGAGCATTTCATCGACACCAATGGACCACCACTTCATTGTCGTGCACGTCCAATCGCACCACACCTATACGAGCAAGTTCGAAAGGAATTCGAAAACATGATTGAGCAAGGAATATGCCGTCCAAGCAAAAGCCCTTGGTCATCACCACTTCACATTGTACCGAAGAAGAACGGAGAATTACGAGTTTGTGGAGATTACAGAAGACTGAATTCTATTACCACTCCTGACCGCTACCCAATGCCGCGAGTCAGGGATTTCACTCATCAACTATCAGACAAGACTATATTCTCCACCATCGATCTCAACCGAGCTTACCAACAAATAAGATTCAGCGATGAAGACATAGAGAAGACAGCAATAATTAAACCAATGGGATTATTAGAAATCACAAGAATGATCCCAGGATTAAAGAACGGAGGGCAAACTTTCCAAAGATTCATACACGAAGTACTTCATGGACTGGATTTCGTTTTCGCATTTATTGATGATCTCCTTGTTGCAAGCCCCGATAAAGAAACGCACGAAACCCATCTACGCACCGTGCTACAGCGATTAGAAGACAACGGAATCACAATCAACCCTTCGAAATGCATATTTGGACAGCAAGAAGTTCAATTTCTTGGTTTCACCGTCAGCAAGGAAGGAATAAAACCGCCTGCCGAAAAAGTCAGAGCAATCATCGATTATGCAAAACCTAAAACTATCGAAGAGCTAAGGCGTTTTCTTGGGATGATAAATTTTTACAGAGAACACATACCTAAAGCCGCTGAAATCCAAGCACCACTTCACGCCTACCTTCACAACACGAAGAAAAAAGATAAAACGTCAATCGAATGGAACGATGAAGCCACGAAGGCATTTGAAGCTTGTAAAATTGCGATCCAAAATGCAGCTTTACTCGCTCACCCATCACACGAAGCAACCCTTGCTATCTTCAGCGACGCATCCGATCTCTCAGCAGGAGCAGTTCTCCAACAATACAGCAATGGGAAATGGCAACCACTTGGATATTTTTCGAAGAAGTTCTCCGATACTCAACGTAACTACAGTACATTCGACCGAGAGCTACTCGCTATTTACATGGCTATCAAGCACTTCAGAAAAACGTTCGAGGGTCGAAACCTGATCGTTTTTACCGACCACAAGCCATTAACATATGTACTTCCAAAGAAACCATCACTATCGGAAACACCACGAAGAGCAAGACAACTTATTTTCATAAGTGAATTCACGACCGACATACGTCACATCAGTGGAAAGGACAACATAGTTGCCGACGCACTCAGTCGCGTACCAATCGACAGTGTAACGTGCCCTACATCAATCGACTATCATAAGATCGCCGCAGCACAAGACAGAGATAGTGACAACATAAAACATCTAGCGAAGCAAGGTAACTTGTCCATCAAGCAAGTTACAATGCCAATGACGCATCTACCAATATACTGTGAAGCCTCAACGACAACCATGCGACCATACATACCAGAAGAATGTCGTCGCGAAGTCTTCAATGCACTGCACAACATTAGTCATCCAGGTGTTAGAACAACAAGAAAACTCATCACTGAAAAATTCTTTTGGCCTGCAATGCAAGCGGATGTTGGCAACTGGGCGAAGCAATGCATTCAATGCCAAAAATGCAAAGTACAAAGGCATACATCAAGTAGTCTAGCTACATTTCCACCCACGGAGAGATTCGAACACTTGCACGTTGACATCGTTGGACCATTACCTACTTCACCGCAAGGACATCGTTATCTCGTAACAATGATCGACAGAACAACAAGATGGCCAGAAGCAATACCTACCGATGATACTTCAGCCGAATCCGTCGCGAAGATAATTTATGAAAATTGGATTACTCGTTTCGGATCACCTAAAACCATCACAACGGATCAAGGAAGGAATTTCGAAAGCAACCTATTCCTCAAACTTCTTCAAACTATGGGAATACAGAAGACGCGTACAACAGCATACCATCCTCAGTCAAACGGAATAATCGAACGATGGCATCGTACATTAAAGACTGCACTCAAAACTCGTTTATCTCAACATACAAAGTGGATTGATGAGCTACCTACAGTGCTACTCGGACTACGAGCAACACCGCGTGCAGACACTAGTCTTAGCGCCGCTCAGCTAACCTACGGCTGCAGCATAAGGCTGCCGTGTGACTTCTTCAGTTCAGCAGCGTCAAACAAACAAGAAATGGATTACGATTTCGTAACTAAACTTCGAGAATCAACTAACAAAGCCTTATCGTTGAAATGCACCGAAATGCAATCACACAGAAATAATAAATCAGTATTCATTCACCAAGATTTGAAAACATGCAAACAAGTTTTTGTAAGAAACGACGTAATGAAAAAACAATTTCAACCTACCTACGATGGACCGTATAAAGTATTGGAGAGAAATAGCAAGACTTTTAAACTACAAATACCCGGAAGGAAATCTACGATTATATCGATCGACCGACTAAAGCCTGCCTATATTATTAACGAGGATACTGCAGAGGATTCATCATCATCATCAAAACCACCAGCGAGGAAGCTTGAAACTTCATCATCTACATCAACCCAGTTGAAACCTATTTTAAAAACTACGAAATACGGGCGAGTCGTCAAGCCTCCGGTACGTTTTCGCTGGGGGGAGAGTGATGTAGCAGCCAGATTAATCAAACCTAAACGGGAATAAATAATATATACTCCGCTGCTACCATAACGCGGAAGGCGAGAATAAATAAAAAAAACATTTTATTTCCTAATTATTCTTGGCTACTGATATACTGCGGACTATATATAGATAATTTGACGTTCTTATAAAGAAACAAGAAGCAGCCGCAAATATCATTCAGCGCCACACCGACTTCACACGCCGCTATCGTCACGTATCCGTCGACCAATGGTGAGCCGTTTCTTCAACGCCGCAGTTCGTTTCCTCTTGCTGTTCCGGAACTGTGTTCCACGCCGCCGCCGCCCGCCGACTACGCGTGCGCACCGATCTGCATGTCTTATATAGCCCGGTCCAGCGACGTAGCTTCGTGAACAACAAACAAGTCTCACGCCGGGAAACGAAACGTAGATAATTGTATATTTTAAATAGTTTTCATTGGTCATAAAATAAGCAATATAATTGGCTAGGCAAAATATTAATTGTTACCATTGGCAAATCAATAGTGAGCCAGCCATATAAATATAGGCAAGGTTGATGCAAAAGATATTCCATTCCGAATCCCATTCGACAGTACATTCATAAACATAAACAGTAGTTTCATTTCTCCACCTTGAAGAAAACCACTCGGAGTCTGTTAATAGTGGACAGTTCATCTCCACTATTACACATTAAACAGCCTATCAAGTCTACTGTTGAACATACGTTTCTGGTTCTCGTCGTGGTGTTTCTAAGGCTAATAGTTTCTTTGTATATTTCACAGTACGATGCGATGTGAATGCAATGTATGGAATGCAAATGTAAACGAGATGGACTATAATGCTTCAAAACCGTCTTAAAAATTCGAGGAAGCCTAGCAGTGGGAACTTTGCTTAAACATAGTCAGACGGATCAGTAAGCTGAAGTGGGACAATAAGACGGCCAAATAATTAACGGACCGACAACCAATAGGGATGAAAGGATCAAGATTGACAACCTCGTACCGGTAACATATATTATTTAGTCATAATTAATGTAACTCGGAAGAGAAACGACGAAGACTCCTTGCTAGAATTAGTAGCCTGTAATTGTAAACATTTGTGTAGAAAATTAGAATATCTTACAAAAATACACATTTAGGCGATAATGGAGTCGAGAGCTGGAATCTTGATTGGTAGAAGGAACAAGAAGTTCAATCAAAAAACTGAACACGATAGAAAAAGGAAATAGAGGGCTAATTTTTATTATAGGATTGGGTGACAAACGAGCACACAGTCCACCTGATGGTAAATGGTTGCTGCGGCCTATAGACATCTACATCTATCCTCGATTACAAATCAGAATTCAGATGCGTTGTCATCTCTGAGGACTAAGATCGAATGCCTCGTTTCCAGTAAAAAGGGTCTCTGGTTCTCTACACTCACCATATGAAACATTACGCCACTATTTCACGCTGGTATTTTGTGAGAGAGTGATCCCGCCCCGGTCGAGCCGACCTACTCGTGCCACAACTATACTACTAATATAACTGCAGCATTGCTCTACTATGTATGATTCTGTCAACTGTGGAATGGTATAGACTAATATTATAATAACTCAGATTTTTTTTTTAGTTTGCTGCACTTTACAACATTTACCTGCGTGTCAAATTGTGGTGGTTCATCTCCCATGAACCTCTCAAGCAACGGCTTGGCTAAATCTTGCAATGCTGATAGCAAAACTTTGCAGCTTTGTACACGTAGAACCATCCAATCTGATGGAAAAACCTGGCAAAATAGAAAAGAATGTTATGATTTTAAAAAAAACCTATGGTGTTGTTAGTGTTTTATCAACGACAAGGTAATGAAATACCAGACCCCGAACAACTAAGGCATTCTAACACGCCTTCATATTTTTGATCATTGACCTTCTAACCAAGGTTTATAATAACGTGAATTCCCTAAGTTCGTCGCTTTACAATTTACAAAGATATAAAACCTATTTTCAAACCCCTGTGTTGTTTTAGTGGGTAGAACTGAAATTATTTAAAACTTACATCTTGTTCAATTAGATGTCTGAAGACGAGAAAAGCACGCATCAGGAAATCCTTTAAGGGTTTTCGATCATGAGGATGTGGTGCGAGATGGCTCCATAGCCTTTGGTAATGTGCCGGTTTTAATAGCTCCATGGTACCCAATAAACCGGCCACCATTGAACCCTGAAAAAGAATATTTCTTTCTTAAATTATGAATTAATAATAACCGTATTTCGAACGAACTTTTACGGATTTTTTATTTATTTATTATTTATTGCACCAACAAAGTACACACTATTACATGCAAAAAAATCAGAAAAAAAAACGAAAAAAAAAACATACAAAGTGCTACTTCAATTATCGGCGCAAACAACATTCTCTTAAAGTCTCGTACATTAACTTATGTTGAGAAGCAATTTAATTTATTTGTATTAAAACGCATGCATTATTATAAGGAAGTTATTATACAATTAATTAACTTATTAGTACTATTAACAACAATAATAACAAAATTTTATCAGTGCATTATATTTAACTATGTCAAGAACATTATATTATTTAAAAAATAATAAAGATAAAGACATCAATTAAAATTTCAACAAGTCGAAATGTCATTAAAATAAAAATTTATATTATAAGTCAAAATTAAAAATTGAATGTAAAAATAAAATAACGCTCACACATATTTTAATTTAAAATTACCTATCGTACACAATAATCGAAGTATTCTGTTATTACTTGAGCTGCAAAATTTTTAAATTGTGTTAAGGAGTTTGAAAAAATATCTAGCTGAGAAGATCCTTTTTCAGTTTCACTGGATATAGAGTTGTTAATGAGATTGTAACTCATCATCGCTCTGTTTAATGGAGCATTTTAAGACACTCGATGATTTGGTCGGTCAATGAAAACTTTTTTTATCGAAACCATCATTTATCGTCGATAAAGAATTGAGGAACAGGTGCGTTCTTAGTCTCGAGGATTAGATTGATTCTTATTAACCAGAGAAATGGTAAGCAAACATACCTTACAAACATTCGAGCTTTTTCAGCCAGTATTTATTTTTTCAAATTCCGAAGAGTTTGTTGTAATCTTAGGCCAGTATTAAGAGACAATCTTGAGTTTGAACTCAAACCCTTAAATGTCAGAATTTGAGTGTAGTAGCTATTATACGCCACATATTTTAAAATTGTGAAATATGAGTTCAAACTCCATAATGTATCTGAATACCAGCCTTAATCTTCAGGCGTGACAATACATCAGTAAATACTGTTTGAAGTTGGTTGTAAACATGTGCTGCCATAGCCACTTACTGACTGGAATTTTTTTGTGACTTTAAAAAGGATTTTACTCTTTTAAATTGAAAACTTTAGTAAAGAGCAAGCTATACTTGAACAATTTCATTAACAGCTTGCTTTCAATTATATAATTGTTTATAATATTTATTGGCTGTGCTACTATTTTTCCTTTTTCCTATTATTCACTTTTCTAACTTTTTACAAGTATTTTTTTGGTAATAAATGCTGTAGACAGTTGATAAAAACTACTACAGTCACATATATAAGTTTTAGGTTATATCTACAAATATAAGTTTTAGGTAAGTTATAATGAAATTACCGTTTGATAGTTAATTTCTCAGTATTCCCGTTAGATGCAGTAAAACTAATATCACAAGAGTAGAATAGAGATATAAGTATAAAATCGACATGCATTTTATTAAGTTACGCCACAATTTGTGGTGAGCCCATTCTACATACAAAAAGAAATTGTCTTTTTTACGTACTTACATACATACATAATATTGCAATTATTTAAATTAATATTTTAATGAATATTGAATGATTAATAATAAAGAAGACTGATTTATTCAATCTTATTGTTACGTAATAAGAATTTGAGAATATTTTATGGTAAATAATAAAAAGCATTATTTTATTCAATTATATAATTGTTTATAATATTTATTGGCAGTGCTACAATTTTTCCTTTTTCTTAATATTCACTTTTCCAACTTTTTAAAAGTATTTTCTTGGTAATAAAGGCTGTATATAGTGGTTTTAAATATTTTTCACGAATCATATTTATCGCTTGTGATAGACATACATAAAGGGACACGAAGAGATTCCATAAATGTTTTACTGATTTAGTACAGAATACTAAAATTAAATGATTTAATACTAAAATAAAACATGGTGTGTGAATATCTAAACGTACCAACACGGGCGAATTCCCGCCGATGAGATGCAGCACGGTCTCGACGAGAACGTCGAGCGTGTTAAGGCAGAGCACGTCAACATCTGGATCAAAGTCTTCTTGTGGCACCGGTCGGTCGGGATCTTCCTTCTTCCACAGTAACGCGACTAGTTCCGCCAACATGTCTGCACACTGAGCTAGTTCGTCGCGCCGCGCTAAGTGCACACGCAAGTGGTGGCACGCACTCGTCAGTACGATGTTGCGCGCTTCTGAAATTGTAATGCAAAAGTTACACACCTTTTAAGGTTATTATCGCCATTATCAAATTTTGTAGCTGGATATAGGGAGGAAAGATTGGTCGCAATCACCATGCATGGTACGGCAGGTATTTGAGATATGGGTATTTAAAAAAAATCTGTCTTCTAGTGTATTTAAGAAGTCAAGATTCGTAATGAAGAGACAATAAATTTCACTGTTACTTTTATAGAAAAGTATAACTGAGAAAATATTCTGTGATTATATACGTAAAAATATAAGTGGTTTTCAGGTTTAAGCATAGCACAGAAAGACAGAAGTTGAGTTTTACAATATTTAAGGACAAAATATATTGCAATAGAGCTAGCATGCGATAATGTTAGGTTACCTCCAAAAATGTTCCCAAATGAGTATTTTTTATTATCTCGAGTGTCAGATAAAAAGGCGCTCATGTGAGTGGGTGAAATAGAGTGTTACAGCTTGTTCTTAAATATCGTTAACGTTTACAGTAATCTATACATATAATAAAAATCAATAATGAATATAATAATGCCATTTGTGATTTGTGAAAATCTACGTGAGCAGCTTATTTAGTGTTTGTAATATCGCGTTTGCGAATATCGACGTCGCTGTTGCGCGAAAGAATGCTTTTATTGAGCAAGTGCTCATTAGTAGCACGTGTGTCGCAACATTTCTAGTAATGAGCATGCTTATTTTGAGTATTGTGCTATTAATAATGTGCTCAAAAATATATAAATAAGTATTAGTAATGTGCTCAAAAATTAACCGACGTTTGATTTTCGACCATGCTAACTGAGGCGCGGGTAGAAAGGGGCGTGCTCTGAACGCGTCCGAACAGGTTTGCTTATGAGCATGCTATTATTGAATCGATCTCGATCCGCGACAGTTGCTGCATTAATTTAAAATAATAGAACCCTTAATATGTCGCGTTGGAGAAAAGAAAAAACTTTGCTTTTTGTATCCTAATCCTTTAAAACCATGGATATTGCAGCGCAAACTTCAGGTATAAATTCAGATATTGTAGATCTCCAATCCTATGAAGTGCTGATAATGTGTATAAAGAATCTCCGACAGCTAAATATCTCAATGTAATTTCCAGTTTTACTTTAGCTGTAATAGCATCTCGCATCGTTTTTGTTTCGTTTTTGTATGACGCTCTCAACTTCGAAAGTCATAATAAATCATCGCTCTTGAATTTTCTCGAGTCAATTCCATTTTCTCAACGACTAAACAAGTTTGACAAAACCTTGTGACAAGACCGAAAATCTTTTTTTAAATAAATAAATGGTATTCGATTTTTAAAACCAAGGAATTTTCAATTAAAAATATTTTAATATGCCAGGCATTATCGTAAAAACTAGTCTTTTTTTACCTGACTTATATTTTATTAAATATTTTTTTCTCATCAACTTTATTTCGTTTTCAAAAAGTTTTTTATCTAGTCATAACCAGTATTTTAATTTAGCATTCACCAACGCACACCTTCACTCATTCTAGTCCGGAGGTAGGATCTCATCATAAATAACAAAACGAAGCCAAACTCGGCACACCTAGTACTACTCTTCGAGGAGTTCCAGCCGGGCTAGCATGGACAAATTTTATCCCCCGATTATATCCACTGACAAGGGATAAAATTTTCTTATCCCTATGCAAAAGGTATATCCACCCTGCGAGCATGGGCCTATGGTGGATAAAATATCGACAGTAGATAAACTTATCCCCGCGCATAGATAATATACCATAATATAAAGCTATAAACTATAAAGACGCGTTCAAGGAAACAAAGCGGAACGCCACGAACACGAACACAGAGTACTTTACTTTTTATAAACTGGAAGCCACGAAACTGTGACGCTCTCACAATTAAAAATTTGAAAAGTGGTAAATAATTAACAGAATTTATTGTACTTAGTGTCAAAATTTGCGTATTAACGAGACGCATCTAGTGGTGTAATTTTTTTAGCCGCAAAACAATTTTTAGTAATATTCTAAGTGAAAAACCGTTTTTTTCTCATATAAGCAAAACAGTAATCGCTTGCGGCGCTCGATTAGTCGCTACGACCTGCTATTTTTTTAATGATTTTGTGGGCCACCTAGGGACACATCATAAATTTGGAATTTTTGGATAAGTTAAGAGTTATTAGAGGAAAAACGAAAACCATGTGGTTGGTGGTTTCACGAACCAGGAGTCTGCGGCTGGAATTGAAGATGTCACTTGCAGCGTCTCGGAAAGCTCTTTCCGAAAATATATGCATCATCAGCCGGAAGTGTATATCCTCGGAATAACCACACTTTTGCAACTGGTGTCCGATGTCTTGGAAGTTTGTACTCTAATAACTTTTATTTTTGAGTAACGACCAATCTTAATTTTTTGTATATAGAGGACAAACTCATGCCCTTACTGTGGGTAAAATTTAAAATTTTTTAGGTAAGCAGTTTTTTAATAGTGATTTTTTTTTGTAAAACGTATCCGTTTTCGCCATTCCGTGATAAGTTTGTTTTACGAGTAGTGGGTAGCTAAACTAAGCACTATCTCAAAAAAAAAAATGAAATTGTCGTTCACTTTAATAGTTAAGAATATATTGATTTATATCCATTTTACTTTTTTTTCTATTATCTTTATTTCATGCCCAAACTGTTTTATTCTATATCTGTTATAACATCTCTGCACGTTGTTGATTTTACATATTAGATTTAGTATAGCTATAAGGTCCACTTTCTTATTATCCTATTTTAATTTTGCAGTCTTCTTTCCATGTTACAAATTTTACTTGTCAACGCTAATTTAGTTGTAATATCCCATAGATATAAGAAAGAAGTGAAGTGTAATATCGACTTTATATTTTTAATTAATTTAGTAGACTTTATATAGCTGATAAGTTCTTTTTTTGTATATACTTACCTTTTTTTCTCTCTTTTAACATTATTAACATAAATGTTTAAATTATTATTTCATGTCTTTCCTTTAATAATGTACCATACATTAAATGTTACTAATACATTACTGTGGCGACTAGAGACTACTGTAAATAATTAATGTAATAGTGTCATTGTAAAATAGTAAAATTGTAAATTAAAATTTATATAGACAGTGTGCTAACTATTGAAATATTATATTAATTACTTATGTTTTTATTTATATTTTAATTTGTTTTCGTTTTGTTTAGTTTTAAGATTAAGTAGATTTACATTAACTTGTATTTTTCTTTTACCTTTTGTTTATTATATTGCTAAACTATTAATAATTTTTGTTAAACAATGTCATTTATAATAATTGTTATATTTAGTTTAAGCATATTTCTGGCTTGTTTTTATTTTTTCTATTATTCTAATTCTTTCTTTATTTTCTTTTGTATAATATTTAAGTTAAGTATACATTGTTTGTATCAAATCGCAGGCAATCTGTATTACTTCGCTTGTGATTGCGTTTATTAAAAAATATGTGTCTAGAATTAAGCCAATTGTGAAACTGGACAATACAGACCCTTTGGAGGTGGTGTAACCTCTGGAGGAAATTAAAAAAAATCTTATCCCCGCAATTACTGCCATTATAAGAAAATTACAAAATACATCAAAATTGATGTCTACTCTAAAGTCACAAAGATTTAATTTTAATTGAAAATGATGAAGCATGAAGAATGAAAATGTAATGATTTCAAACAAAACACGGAATAAATAATTTTATGATCATGAGTATTGTGTTATTTGTATTCCTAATATTATGTATATTAGTCTTTAAAATTTTAACAATCTTTGCTAAAGGATTAACATATTTCGTAATTCAAACCTCTGAATTGTAACTTTACTAAGTTTGATAACTTTATTAAAACATTATACTTACCTAAAATATAGTATAGACCGATTCTATTATCATTAAATATGACTTGATCATGGACTCGCCTTGGGTATTGTTGACACAACCTATGTAATTAAATCATGGCATTGAGCTATTGAGACTCAATAACTCAATGTTTTAGGGGTGACAACAATCTGAAAGGTTGTGGAATCTTTAACCGGGACGACTATAGTCTCATTGGACCACCTGTAAGATTATCGTGGCACACATGCATTACAGTTATTTTTTGGGGAAAGGGGAATATTAGATTAATATAATACTACTATTCTTTATTTAGAAAAAAAAAACATGATTATTAGGGTTTAGGTTTTTTTAAAACTATAACTTGTTCGCTATTACCAGTTGAACAATTTAAATTAGAATTGTAGACCGCCCTTTCCTTGTACTAAGCCCCAGTCTGGGATGGTAGGTGAAATATATCAACATGGGTGCAGTCAATAACCCTAAGAATATCTGGCAAACCATGCTCTGCTAGGTATCCTCTAACTACATTTTGCCTTGCTTGCTATGTGCCCGGAAATGACATTCACGTCAGTATTAGTCAAAAAAAAAATGACAGAAGTAGATGCACTGGAACTTATATTTATCTACACAAGAGGCTAATTAAAGTATATTGTTCCCCACATTCTAATGATGGCCCCAATAACTTAGGTCAAGTATTTGCCGATTATTTGTTGTTTGAACAACAGCCATGCCATGGTCTTGACTCGTACCTCTTTAGTAGGTAACTACCATCTGCCAAGAGCCTGAAAGATGTTAACTACCTACCTAGAAAAAATATTAAGTCAGCCACATGTATTGATTGCAAATATACGATATTTTTGGACAAGGTGGTTGTTATAAATGCTTATCTGATTGATATCTTAAAATCACCAGATTTAGCGACAAAATCACCAAGGTAAGGCAACACTGCAAAGTGTATCTGTATTTAGTAAAATATATTATTACAAGACTCACCGAAAAAATTTCCAAAAAGGCTTCAGTACCATAGACCACCTCACAATAAAATTAAATCACATGGAAGATGTAGATTCTTACGAAAAGCCCAAACACAAGATCTATTGTTTACCTCATCATGCAGTTATTCGTTGGCATGTGACATAAAACAAATGTATAGACAACAACAAATACTAGTTG